TTCCTTTAGACATGCATTGCGAATTTTGAACCAGACGCAGGTCTGAGAAGAAGCAATCAGTAAATTCTTATGCTAGTGCTTTGTACAGAAATTTTTAAAATATAAATGCTATAATCGCCAGTGTTTTAATACCCGGAGCTCGGAGCAGTCCGTTATTTTAAAAATCCTGGGGAAAATCTACCAAAATATACATTACGTATTCATGTATCTTTGATATAATCCAATATTTTTTTAATAAAGTACTGCAACAGTCTATAGACAACCAAATTTAACAAAAAGCCTTTATATTTAGATTGCTTAATTTTTCATAATTTTGCATCTAACATACTGCATATGCATATGTACGTACATAATTATGTGTTCATATTTAATAGTTAGAGATTTTATTCAAACAAATTATTAGAATAGTACAGCAGCCGGATTAATAAAAAAATGTAAGTGCGCCTGGTCCACACTGGAGAAGTGAAACTTGCGTTACATATCTATTTTGTCTCATAACCAATATTCTTAACAATAAATATCGATAACAAAACCGATAAAAATATTGATAAAAAAAATCTATGAAAATTTCGATAGCAAAATCGATAATATTGGTAGATTAAAAAATCAATAAAAATATCGATAACAAAATCGATAAAAAATCTATAAATAATCGATAACAGAAATTAATAAAAAATATCGATAACAAAATCGATAAAAATATCGAGAACAAAATCGAGAAATAATCGATAACAAAAATCGATAAAAATATTGATAACAAAATCGATTAAAATATCGATAACAAAATCGATAAAAATATCAATAACAAAATCGATAAAAAATCGGTCAATAAATTATAAAGAAAATAGATAAATAATCGATAGCAAAATTTATAAATAATCGATAACAAAATCGATAAAAATAAAGATAAAAAATTCGATCAAAATGTCGATAACAAAATCTATAGCAATATCGATAACAAAACCAATAACTATATCGATAAAAAATGTCGTTTAAAAATCGATTACAAAACCGATAAAAATATCGATACCAAAATCTATGAAATTATCGATTATTATATCGATATGTTTCGAAAATATCGATAGCAAAATCGATATATCGATAACAAAACCGATAAAAATATCGATTATTATATCGATAAGTCCCAAGAATTTCGAAAATCTCTAAAATCCCAAAATAGTTCCTAGATTGAGTCTTTGTGTCTCCATCTATATCCTTTTCTCTATAATTACCTTTATTTTAATCTTTCTTCCTCTATCTTCATCTTTACCTTTATCGGTATCCTCATCCTCATCTTTTTCTTTGTATTTATCTTTGATTTTACTTTTATATTTATCATTTTCTTCACCTACATATTCCCCTTCACCTTTGCCATTATATAAGTAAAGTGTTTAAATTTACCTTGATCATCATTTTTGCCTTTATCTTTACGCATCTTTGTTTTTGTTTTTATTCCATGTTTTCACCTTTCATCTGATTCTTGTATTGGTCTTTTTAAAAGTGTTATTATTTAACCTTTTATTAGCAAGTTTTTGTAAAATAATTATCACTCAAGAAGCACTTGTTTCAACCCTAACCGTTTCCGTTGCACCATTTCCGTGTGCAATTTCCGTTGAATTCGCCAATTTACTCCCAACCAACCAACTGCCGCTAAAGAAGTTTCACTTAAAAAAAAATACGGAAAGGTTTTTGGCCACATAACATGGTCTATTGTGCCCTCAGAGCTCATCATAATACATCATTCAGTTGTAATTCAGTCAGTAATTCTAAGAGGCCTACCCAAGAAGGGCTGAAACAAGTGCTTCCTTGCATGCCTTCTAGGAGGGCTTATCCATTTACAATTAACGCGAATGCATAAATTTATATTATTTAGCATTACAAATGAATTTCAAATAACATTTTAAGTTGTAATAGTACATACTTGGTATAAACCTTAAGGGAACTCCTCCAAAAGGCCTTCTGAAGTACGTCCTATAAAAGCCCTTCTGGAAGGCCTTCTATGGGTAGCGAAAGAAGAAGCCCTTCAATGTGTGCAACTCCATACAAAAAATAATGGAGAAAGGAATGTAGAATGGAAGGCCTCTTTACTATCAGGAAAGCCTTTCGAAAGGGCTCCCTCCCTCCCTCTTCATATCCCTATAGCGGTCCCACATAGCGCGCGTTGCGCCGATGGCAGAGTGGCCCTGTAGGCGGCATCTTTTTTCTCTTCAGCTTCCTGACACTCCACATCGTACCAGTTGTTCTTTCGGGCTCGCTGAAATCCGACTACTTCTTCGGCGGCGGTACTTAACGAGCAGGAAATGTGGTTTCACTGCTCGCGTATGTCGATTTGTTGAAGAGTGCTCTCTGAGAGCAGGTGTGAGAGTGGAGTAGCGAAAGCACTGGCTGTCTGTTGTGATTGCAGGTTTTCGACGTTAAGCTTTCCTTGCATATTTTGGCGCACATTTTTTGCGGCACAGAGGCGAATGCGTATCTTGGCTGCAACAAGATAGTGGTCAGAGTCGATGTTTGGGCCTCGGAGTGTGCGTACGTCTAAAACACTGGAAGCGTGCCTTCCGTCTATCACAACATGATCGATTTGGTTTCTCGTTTTTCGATCCGGAGACAGCCACGTAGCTTGATGGATCTTTTTATGCTTGAACCTAGTACTGCATACTACCATGTTGCGGGCCCCGGCGAAGTCGATCAGCCTCAATCCGTTGTCGGACGCTTCGTCGTGGAGGCTGAATTTTCCGACGGTGGTTCCAAAGATCGCTTCCTTGCCCACCCTGGCATTGAAGTCGCCAAGCGAGATTTTGATATCATGACGGGGGCAGCGCTCGTACGTGCGCTCCAAGCGCTCATAGAAGAAATCCTTGGATATCTCCATCCTTCTCTTCCATTGGGCCATGGGCGCAGATGAGCGAGATGTTGAAAAATCTCGCTTTGATGCGGATTGTGGCTAGACGCTCGTCCACCGGGGTGAACGACAGTACTCGGCGACGGATTCTCTCCGGATTCTCTCTTCGAATTTCCGCTCCTTTACATGGCAGCCCTAGACATTGCTTGCCTTGCCCCGTCCAACGCATTTCTTGGATGGCGATGATGTCAGCTTTTGTCCTTACGAGGACATCAACCAGCCGGGCAGAGGCACCTTCCCCATTAAGTGTCCGGACATTCCAGATGCATGCCCTCAAATCGTAGTCCTTTAAACGTTTGCCGTGGTCGTCATCATAAGGGGGGGTCTCATCCGAGGCTTTGCCTTGTTTCTTCACTGGAAGTGGTTTTTACGCGGCGGGTCCCAAACCCAGCGCACAACCCATTGCTGGAACTCTCTAATCTGTAATTAGAAAAAGAGATTAGCCATACAAAATTCGTCCCTTGTTAATCTGTAATTATAAAATAATCTCAGATTTAACCGATAACTTTTCGGTGTCCAACCTGCTTTTATCGATTAATTTTGCGAAGAAAAGGAGAAATGCCAAATGTAAAAGTAAATAAATTGACGCTAGCAAGGAAAAGAGGTTCGTAAAAGTATTTTTAATAAAATATTAAGTTAAAACATATTTAAATTGCTTTATATAGCAGAAAACAAGTGACCACGGTGTTACAGAGAAGAAACATAACCTTTCCTTGAGATGTGAGAATAACAAGCACAAAAAATTTTACGGCTAATAATCGGAGATTGCCTGTGTAAACGGGGTGATTAAAAAACATGGTCCAACTACACAAGATCTGACAAGATGAAGCAAAAGAAAAAAGTAATTTTCTGGCTGACGTTTGTAATTTCGGCGCCATGTTATTTTCTTTGAAAAGTAAACAAAGAATATGAAGACGAAGCATAAAGAAAAAATGCAAGCAATTTTGCAGCAAATGTTTGTGCTAACCAAATTATTATTTTGTACGTGTTTTTGTCACCAATCACCGTGCACTTCATTTTAATTACATTTGCACAAAAAATTTATTGAAAATCGCTTAAAAATCACTGAAATAAACCACCGACAAAATACACATGAAGAAAGAAGCAAAACAGAAATAGCCATGATGCAATAATACAAGGTGGTATCAGTTGTGACAGCTCGATTTTGACACTGCCTTAGCTCAGTAAAATAAGAAGAAAAACGGGAAGAAATGAATCCCCACTTGGGGGGCAGTCAATGTGGCGGAATTAGAGCGAGAAGTTGCCAACCGATAACACCTTGTATTATTGCATCATGAGAAATAGCAAGCTTCAAAATTACGAACGTCACACACTTTTTTCTCCATTGCTATTACAAATGGCGGGTACTGTTTATGAATTTGTACCACGATCTGGGGCGGTAGCCCCAGTTATGTCACACAGAAAGGATAATTCTACGTAGTAAGAGTAAGTAGTAAGGCCGCCTACGCAGAAAGGTGTTCTCTGCAAAAGGTGTTCAGCCCCCCTTCTTCGGACGCAAGTTTAACTTTGTTTTTTCCTTGCAAAAAATCTAAAATTCCCCTATTTTCAAACAGCTCCCCAGAGGTCTGTGGGAGGGGTTGGGGGAGGAGGGGTGACTTTTCATAAAGCGGCATCAATCCTCTTTCGTTTAGGGGGGATTTGTGGGGCCCACACCCCCGCCCCTCCGCCCCCACCACTAAATCGTTGTACAAATAGCTAAACATTTCCCCAAATGGCTGCTTCTCAACCGGTAAGATCTGTTCTAATTGGTTCATGATTAAAAAACGAGCTTTGATTGGGATAATATTTATATGTATATTCAATTTTTCTGTCAAACGCACGAAGGCTATGGAGATCCGCCTTAATACTTTGACCGCGTACTCGATACCCACATAAGTACTTGCGGGAATGATTCGAGTATGCCATAAGTAATCAGTGCTTGAATAAAGTATCGATTGTTTTTTCGTAGTTATTCGTATCGGAAAACTACTGTCAACAAATTGCTGCCGCCAAACGCTCTAATTTCTATCTATAGGAGTGTTGGTTTTCAAGAATTATTAATTTTTTACAATTAACAAAAACACAGATTTCAAAAAAGAATATGGATTTCAATACATTGTTGCAGCAAGCACAACGCTTAACCAACGAGACGCAGAACTCCGAGGAGTTGCCGCGTGTTGAACGTACAATTTCGCAAGTTTTGCAGGCAACACAGGAGCTGCACTCACGTGTTACTCAAACTGGCGCGCAGGACATACAGGCGTAAGTGGTGATACCATTTAACTATGTATATTCGGCCATGTCTTAACAATCGCACTATATTCTTTAAATCTTTCAGTCACATTCTACTCGGTTCAAAAGGCATAGATCTTCCGAAAATTTCGCAAAAGTTGGAGGCATTAAATGCACGAAAAACTTTTGAGCCCCTTGATCCTATTGCCGATACTGACGTGCGTAGTTTTTTGAAGAACGAAAAGGAAAATGCTATATTATCCATGATCGAAGAAGTAAACAGAAGTGTAAGTACTACAAAACTATTTTGAGTGTGCATACATAGTTAACTTGTTTCATCACGTTTCATTCACAGACATTTGAGGCGGCAGAAAAGCGCTGCTGGGAGAGTATACGTAATGAATGGCAACAGGACAAGGTAAAGCTGTTGAATGCAATGGTTGGTCCATCACAGAACTGGATCGATATACAAAAATTACCGGAACAAACTGTGCTTAATGAAACTTTTGGCACGCGTTCATGTCTAAACCGAGTTGTAGGTTAAATTTTTGGGAAATTTGCCATTGATTTCATTAATACAATTAAATTATTCATAGGAAATGGCATATGCGCGTGAGGTATATGAGTATAACACCAGTGTCATCAAAGGCGCTTTTCGTCCGAATTTGGTGCAGAGATTCGCAAAGGTGGCTGAAAGTTTTGAAGATCAAAAAGTCAACGAAATTTGGGAAATCATGAAGTACATGGTCAATATAGCACCAGTATCAAAAAATCGCGACCCCATACAAAATCGCACACAAATAACTCAATTTATTGACCAAGCCAGAAAATATTTGGAAAATAGGTTTGTATATTTAAAATTAGATTATGCTTGTTTGCATTATAAATGTTATTTGTCCTCTTGTATTGCAGATATAAATTATACATGTCGACAATCATTAGCAGCAATTTACGCGAAGCTCAACGTGGGGGCGTGCCAAGTACATTTAATTTAGTTTCTTCATTTGTAGGTCTGACTTTCAACCAAGCGAATTGTTTTGGCTTGCAGGACGCGAGTATTGACAACAAACCACTCTGGCCAATGGTCTACTTTTGTTTGCGTTGTGGTGATGTGCAATCGGCGCTACGTTGCATGCAAATGGGCGGGTAAGCAAAATAATCAAAATTTTTTATTCCAATTTTAATTTTTTCCAACCTCTGCAGTGCGGGACACGAAGATTTCATACAAGTACTGGAAGACAAAATAAACAAGCCAGAACAAAAGATTAATTCCAAGTTAGAAGGCCAATTAAGATTACATTATTGCAATAAAATAAAAAATTCTACTGATCCATATAAGAAGGCGGTAGGTGTAAACACATATTGCATATATGTATATAGGTAGTTTAAAATTTCGATACAAATATACATAATTCCTAGGTTTACTGCATAATAGCAGGATGCGACATTAACGAACAACACTTAGAAGTTGCCAAAACTACCGATGACTTTCTCTGGATTCAACTCTCCTTACTACGCCCAGAGTCCAATGACAACACCGAAGTGCTGACCTATTCTGGCCTACAAACAATGATACTTGAAAAGTATGGCGAGAAGCATTTCAATGCCAGCGAACAGCGGCACCTGTACTTCCAAGTTCTTGCATTGACCGGTCAATTCGAAGCAGCTATTGAGTTCCTAGCACGCACTGACCAATATCGCACGCATGCTGTTCATATTGCATTGGCGTTGAACGAGATGTTCCTTATCGGAGGGCCACGTAATGTGCAAGAGCCATTGTGTAAGTAATATTCAAATTGTACTGGGACTTTTTTCAGTTTTCACATAAATTTTCATTTTTTACTTAAAGTATCGGTCGACATTGAAGATCCAATGCCTATGCGGCGGTTAAATATTGCCCGTTTAGTAATATTGTATGTTAAGAAATTTGAAATCACTGATCCCGCCGAAGCTCTGCAGTACTACTTCTTCCTACGAAATTTGAAAGATCCAGAGGGACGTAATTTGTTTTTGGCCTGTGTAAGTGACTTGGCAATCGAATGTCGCAACTATGATTTGATATTTGGCAAGATGCAACCAAACGGCATTATGTCGGGGTAAGTTAACTAATTGAGCTTCTTTTTTGTAGAACTTCATGGGTTGTTTGTTATATGTACATATCTCGCTGCATTTATCTTTTTCTTACCAATTAGTGGTCTCTTCGAACAGTTCGATTGTGTTGAGTTCGACACACGAACTGCTGCTGGCATGGCCGCCGAGGAGCTAGTGAGCAAGGGGATGTTCGAAGATGCTATCAAATTGTTCGACATTGCTTGCGTAAGCCTACAAAATTTTTAAGTAAAAATTTGTTAGAATTTTCATTTCTAAACTCGTTTTTAGATGCAAAATCAATCTTTGCGCTACCTTGCAATACTTCTTTCACAAGTCGTACATCAAAGTTCGAAAAAAGATTCGCTGCGCGAACGTTTAACAATTATGGCGGCCGATTTTAGGGAACGAATGCGCGGTAAAACTTACATTGCTCAAATTGAGTAATGTATTTAGTTATTTTCTTTTTATTTTCATATTCTCACAGGCAATCGTATCGAGTGTGACCCACAAGTTATTTCTACCTTCAATTTACTATGCGAACTAGTTTCATTCTTCGATTATTATCACGAGCAGAAGTACCAATTGGCTTTGGAAGTGCTCGCAAACACCAAACTTGTGCCATTGTCAATGAATGAACTTGAAGAATGCATAAATAACTTTAAACGCTTGGGTGGGGAAATTTGTAAGGTGTATCCTGACATTCTGTTGGCAGCCATGGATATACTATACGCTCAGTACAAAAGTGTTAAGGGACGTGACACTGGCATTGTAGATACCGGGCGCGATCGTGTAAGTGAATATATCGCGAAAAATATATTTAGAAAAATGAAAACTATTCGCTTTTTTTATTATGCAGCAATTACAGCATCTGCGCGAGAAGGCGAAAGCTATTACAAATATGGCCGCGACAGTACCGTATCGCATGCCTGGCGATACGAATAAAAGACTCGTCCAAACGGAAATCCTGATGCACTGAATTCACATGAAATTAAAAATAGTCGTTAAAACAAAAATGTAAGTTACGAAAAAAAACCACACAAATAAAATAGATTGTAATTTATATAATTAAATGCAACGCTGTGAACTTTATTTTTGCCGCTTATACTTTAATAAAGTGTCGTAGGTATGTATGTATATCTATAAATGCATTTACGTGAGCAATAGAAAGCGCTTCCAAAACCGTTAATTCAATGAATTCCACAATTATGTATTGCATGTATGTATAGAGTACATATCCGATATACATACATATGTATGGAAATATGTTAAAGGAATTCTTTGATCTTTTTTTTTTTATTTCGAGTAACTATTTAAGTCACACTTGAGTCCCGCGTATGTGACTTTTTTAAGCATTAAAAGAAACTATAAATGCTGTTTACTTTATCGTCAAAATAAATTGTGCGTTACATCTTATCCCTTAAAAACTAAATTGTTTATCTTTTACCTCGCGTACAATAGTAGGAATGCATACATTTATAATTATATGGACTTATCAACTGCTCCGCCGCTTTAACCCATATACTGATATGAGGCGCACACTGGCTCCTGATGTCGAACGTGTGGGGAAGACTGCTGCATAGCCAAACGCTGTAAGTGACAAGAGCGACATAATAGGCGACCGTCTAATGGATAGCAGCGTTTGTCTGGTTCATCTGTAAGCTGCATGCCGCACTCTTCACAAATGTAGCAATCGACATGGAAATCTTTATCCATCGACACTACCCGAACCGTTTCATCGGTGCCTTCTACAGGTGTAATACCTAAAAGAATTTGTACATATTCAGACAAGTAACCAAATTCGCTTTGAATTTAAATTGAGCTATGTTGAAATTCACCAGGAAGTTAATTGCAGAACCTGCCTGATTATTTGTGGAAAACAACACATGTATATATGCAAATATTTGTCCCTTACCTTTGCCGCAACTAGCACATTTCGGTGCAAACATACGGTGATAATCATTAACGCAGTAAATTTTATGATCCACATCCACCGTAAAAGGTACACCGTCTAAACATTCATTACAAATGCAGCAACGGAAACATCCCGGGTGATACGATTTGCCCATTGCTTGAAGTATCTTTTATAAAAAATATGTTACATAATGTACTGAATGTTTCAACAATAATTCACATATCGGCGAAACATACCATCTCCATTATCAAATGTCCACAAATTGCACATTTTTCTGCAGTTTGCTGGAAACCCGAATACTATAAAAATGTTTATTTAAAAAAATACTCTTCGTTTGAAACCATGTATTATTCTGTTTACCATGTAATCCTCCTCGCAATAAACGCGACCGTGAACATTATAAAACGCCTTGCCACGCAATGCACGTCCACACGAGCAACAAATAAAGCAATTTGTGTGATATAAATTTCCCATGGCCTGACATGCCTGGCCAGCACCTTTTACCTTATCGCCACACGTATGACAAATTCCTTAAAAATATAAATCAAATAGTAGACTAAAAAAAAAATTCATTAAACGGCTTACCAAAATACTCTCCCTGTTCTTCGCTTTGTTCGATTTCTTCCTCTAATTGGCGAGTGAGCTCTTCGATTTTACGTTGGGCTTCAGTAGGACCGATGGGACGGGGTGGTGTCACGCTATACGGTAGTAAATTCTTTGAGAGGCCTAAGATAAATGGTATTTTTTTGAATATTAAAGTCATCCCGAAGTAACAGGTTAACACTATATCTCACCAGTACTATTTTGAGAGGGCGTCGGTGATATGGACGATGCAACCCCACCGGATGTTATTGGGCGCTGAGGTATAGCCAGTGGTGATTGCGTGAATTTACGTTCGCTCATAGGCGAAATTTTACGTGCACCAGCTAACGAGGCAGACTTTTCTGTCTCAATTGCACCACTACTGCCTACATAAATAGGCGATTCATTGCACATTTTTCGGTGTCCACTGTTGCTCAAAGCAATCGCCGTAGTATTTGAACGTAGTGATGCTACGCCTCCAGTTGGGCTTCTCGCTGGCTGGCGATGCAAATTAGCCGTCATGCACACATAATCAGAACTGTTGATTTCCTCAATGTAGTTTGGATTTACCGATACGTTGATGATCGGATGATGTGTGGGAAAGTGATGCTGAAACAATTTTAAATTAATATTAGTATTAAATCATAGTTTTTAAGTACATAATTATTATTTACTTACTGTATTTTTAATTGGAGTGTGTTGCAATAGTTTGTAATCGTTACTGCTCGCTGTACTGGATGCCATTGATTTAGTTGGCGATATTTGTACGTTGTTAGTACTACTGGGTAATGATAGATTGCGGTAACGCTGTGTTGGCGATGATAAACCGCTGCCACCCCCAGTAGCAGCCGCAGTGCTATTGGACGTTGCTGTTTTCAGTGAGGAATTCGAGGTGCTCCGTCGATGCATTGGTGAGGCTAACACCGCGGTCATATCTAGACCCGAGTTTTCACGTATGTGATGCGGTGCTAGCGGCATGGCACCACCACTACCAACAACGCCAATTTGTGGTGACATCTCGACGTGTTGATAAATAGTAGCAGTTGCAGGCGAAGCCTGCGGTTGTGCACGCTGTCCAGAATGTGGTATAATATTTTCGTAAATTGGCGCATTGTCCGTATGATGATCTGGTACTGGTGTATGGGCAAATCGCCCACTATTGGTACTGGCATGCATCACCATATATTGACCACGTGAAGGATTCGCAGTAGGGCTTTGGGGTTGTGCTCTCTTGTGTGCCGAATCAAAGTATGGAGCAGGCGAGACAGCTGCGCCGACGCCACAAAATTCTAGATTTTCATAAACAGGCGAATGCTTCGATGATTTTTGTTCATACATTATATTACGACCAGCATAATGTGGACTATTACCCACACCTGCAATATTCCCATTGGATGCAGGTTGTGAAAGTGGAACAATGCTTGTGCTTGCATCACCGGACAACTGTTCAATCGCACGGGGTGTGGCATACTTAGAAGAAGCAATGATATTCGTACGTTCATACAATTTATACTCCTCGGCAGATTGTTGCTGCTGTGCAGGGGTATTACCTATATGTTGCCGTATGTAATTCGCTACAATGGGATGTTTGGGAGAACTAAGTCCAATTTTCTCATCGCCCATTTGAAGGCGTTGCATTGCTTCGCTAAGGTTTTCATTGCGGCGTTGACTAGCCATCGATTAAACTCCGCAAATTCGATGTCTTTATAGAGTCGAAGTTCTTGATTACACCGGTACCATTAACGAATCTATACAATTGCTTTGCTCATGAGTTTTCGAAATGCACAATGAAACGTTTAAGAAAGGGATGATCAAACACACAAAGGAATTTCCGGAATTTTCAGGAGCCTATGATGAACAAGAATGAAGTAAATGAAATCCCTCCTTGGAGTTGCCACTAAAAGTGAAAAATAGGCTACTCCAATTTGGAGCACATAAAAGATAAAAATGAGAGCGGCCTCCCTATTAGATACGAGAAGTTAGCCCAGAGCTGCCGTGTCCCTATTATGATGAACTACAATTTTGTTAATTGTCATGGTGAACATCTGTTTCGAAAGTTTAATTTTAATTGAAGTAGAACGTTATTTGGTTCTGATTGTTTTTTGTTATTTGGTTCTTGTCTAAAAAGATGTAACTAAGACAGAAATTTTAACGTCTACCATCCAGTAATTTATGAAAACTACAGAAATACCTGTAAAAACCCCTAAAATCTCGATTCAGAGATTTACGAATACTCTAAAACAAATACAGCCCTGCATGGTGAAATAATAATAAATATATTTATTTCATCATGACAGCCCTGTATAAAAATTCCCCTCTTTATTATGGGTACAAATACAACACTGGGGAATTTTTCCTATCAATTATCGAATAGCAATAAATTCTGTCAGTCTTCGTAAAATTTTTATGCATATTTCAGTGTTTTCGGATTTGGTAAAATCGTAAAAGTAACGTGATCGGTAAGAAAATACAGAAATGCCCTATATTTAGTGCAGTTTCGGAGTTAAATATAGTCATATCTCGTAAGCAATAAATTTACATTGTTCAAAAATGGATTTTGGAACCTTGCTGCATGTGGCAAAGAAAAATAGTGAAAGCAGTAAAAATGAGGTAAGCACGGAGCAAAACCAACACAGCTGTTTGGTGGGTTCAATACCACCCAGATATACAACATCTTGGAGTTATCCAATACGTGGCAGGATTTGCAGTATTTGACAATCCTTATAATACATATGTATATAAAAATATCAATTATTCATTGAAAATATTCACTCGAAATATTCCAGTTGGTCTTCATAGCAGATGGGAGACTCACTTAAAAATTCAGTTGTGCCTTTCGAGATGTTTCGAATCCTAAAAATAAATGCAAATAACTTCAGATGTTATAGGTTTGTCCTCGTCGTCAGAACTTGCACACAGAATCTCTTCTATTTCCCGGAAATTTAACACTTTTTTTGAAGAAAACTTTTAAATACCCAACTTGCACACTCAAATAGAACTAATATAATAAACGCTACTAAGTTTTTGAATGCGAAATTATAATTTGCAACGTTTCTCGTTAACTTCGGTTATGCTAGTAGCTTCTTAATAAAATAATATATATATGGGTCTATTGATTTCGTTCTAAATTTTTACAATTCTCTGCAACAAAGCAAATCTCTTATCTAATAGAGTCATGTCACCCAAATAAGAGCAACTTGCACTTAACTAAAGCGAAGCATAATTGCTAAGTCAATGGGCGGATTTCTAAACCATTTAAAATAACATGTAAAAGTTTTTTTTTTAGACCAATTCCTTCTGTCTAGATAAAAATTGCTGTTGCATACCAATTTGGGAACGCATTTTTAATTTTCGGGTCATTTTCTAAACTTTTTTCATTCGGATTAGCTATACATAATTTTATTTCCGATTTCTCAGAGTAAATACTACAGCACCAAATTTGCCCCACCAAAAAAAGAGTCAAAGGATAAAAAGTTGTCTGCAAATATACAGAAATTCCTTCAAAAACGTGAACAGGAAGAACGCGAGCGAGAGAAGGATAAGCAACAGAAACTGGCAGATTTACTATCGATGCGAGATGAAAAGTCCAAAAACAAAATTAAAAAAATGCTAAAAGTCACAAAATCCGCAAATAAATCTGTTTTGGATGATGCAGTCAACTCCGACCACACTGCTGTTACTATGGCAGGTCCGGATCAACCAGATCAGGACGACTACGGATATGTTTCGACAGAGGCAAATGCTTTTTATGCAAAATACATTGAAAAGGTATGTAAGTTTTCATGAAACTAGAAAAGAAAAACTTAAAAAGCCATATCATAAATAGGTAAAAGACGTAAAAGAGGACAAAGGATTTGCTCCTAGTCGACCACAATCGCTCAAAGATCTCTCAGGTACTAAGGAGCGCGTGAAGGCAGCAATTACGCGTGAAATTGAAGAAAAGAGAGGTCACAAAGGTCAACGAGTATCAAGCATCACCACTGCTGTAAGTACCAGTGGCAAGGAACCAAAGGAACCAAGCATAGTGCGTCCCAGCTCATCCAAATCTCTTTATGATCCTGAAGCCGAACGGCGGGAAGAAGAACGTAAGAAGCGTGAAGAGGAGCAACAACGTAAGAAGAATCGAAAACCCCTACCCCCACCAATGGACTTTCAGGCTTTACTTAAACTTGCCGAGAAAAAGCAACATGAACCAGTTGAAATACTACCCGTTGTCAAGAAAAAAGAGCCAGAACGCTTGCTAACAATGAAAGAGAAGAAAGAAATGGAGGAGCGCCAGCGTGCAAAGGAAGCGCGTGAACGTAGAGACCGTGAGCGGGAAAAAGAGCGCACTATTGGTTCGGGCAGCACAAAGGAACGACGAGAAATTAGTAACAGTAGCTCCTCTTCGAGTGCTCCGGCGCGTATGGAACCAAATGGACGTATACCAAAATTAAATCAATCAACAAAACCAAACACGTCGACTACTGCTCAATCACTAACCAACAAAGCCGGCATTGTTTCCGTAAAACCTTCCACAGCCACTAGCGGAACAAATGGTTTTAAAAAGCCACATACTTCTTCCTCAACTTCTTTAATGTCGTCACAAAAGGATGCACTGAATTCGCATGCGAAAGTAACATCCTCATCTGCTGTGTCGTCATCATCAGTAAGTACCAAACAATCTCATTCCATACCAAACAAATCAACTGCAGCGTCAACCAATTCGAAGTCGGTACCATCGTCCAGTGCCTTAGGCAATAGTAGCGGCAGTAGTAAGAATCCTTATGGTAGTTCCTCAAACAAAAATCTGTTTAACGGTCCGTCTCGTGAATTTCCGCCACGTGATACAAAATCGGCGAAACCACGACAATTTCCTCCACCTGATGTACAAAAGGCGCGACAGTTTCCAGCGCCAGATGTACAGCGCAATCGGGGTAAAGAAACAAAGAAACCACAACCAAATAAAAGTAGGTTACAGAATTTTTTAATTTTTAAATGCTTATAACTAGAGATAAACAATAATGTTCCTCATTCGACAGGACTGCGCATCGAAGATGACGATTCCGAATACGATTCTGAAATGGATGATTTTATTGACGACGGTGACGAAGAAGAAGATTACTCATCACATATCCGGGCAATCTTTGGCTATGATAAGCAAAAGTAAAAAACGAATAAATAAAAATGAACTGTCATCAATTTTGTTTTAACTTTACAGGTATCGTGATTTAGATGACAACGATGATGCCGCTATGGAATCCAATTTCGCGCAAGTGCAGCGGGAGGAGTATATTAGCAAGAAGATTGGTATACAGGAGGACTTAGAAGACATGAAATTGGAGGCAATGGAAAAGCGCCGAAAGATGTTGGCTAAGAAGCGAAAACTCTAATTAAATGCTCTAATTGATGTTATAATTTGCAATATACTGATAATTGTGTGAATTTAAATTAAATAGGTTTTGGTTGGCTGCTTTCACCCTTCTATTCAATTCTTTCGAACTTTGTTACACATTTTGTTTTCATTGTGAAATGCTTTGATTTGAATTAGTATAAACTAGCCCCAATATTTATAACTGTACATAAATATTAACATGAATATATTTAAGTTATCAAAAAAAATGTATTTATAATGTACACATGTATTCGTATTTGATTTATATGAACATATAAAGGAAAGTGTAAAATAAATTTTTTTAATAATGCGGAATTTCCACTGGACATTAAAATTACAAAAAATTGGGGGCATTTAAAAAATGACATGTGGAAATGAATTTAATGACAAATTTTTTAACGTAATGACAAAAATAGTTTTTAATGCCCAAGTTTGTCATACAAATTTTTGCCATTTAATGCTGGTGGAAATCTAGCATAACATACTCGAAAATGCTCTTAAATTTAATTGATGGTGAAAACACATATAGAGTGTACATTTCAACGACCTTCCCATTGTCAAATGAGTTGTATTGTTTTATACGCGCAGTCATAATTCGAGTTTATTTATTGCTTAATTAAATTTATGGCTACGCTAAATCACTGATTTAAACAACCTCTATCGAGCTAAGCAGCTGTAACTGCACACGCTTGAATTCTCTCTGCTCGATAACATGGTTGTTTTAAAAAACAAATTTTTTGTTAAGCTAGTAGAGATGACCTCAAGCGAGCAGAGAAATGGCGAATCGAAAAAGGCTTTTACACACAAGTTCATCCTTATTTATGTGTATAATTATATGTGTATACTTTTTCATTGGCATATCTTATACTTGTTTTATATACATACATACATACGTAGTATATCTTAAAAAAATGTACATGTGCATATGTATAATTGAAACCTGGGTTCGAGTCGAAAGCTTGTTCTGTTCGAAAGCAAAATTCGAATCGAAGCCCCGTTCGTACTCCATAGTTCGTTCGAATCGAATTCGAAGATATTCGAAAAAAGAGAGCAACACTGTAGACATCGCACTTTCTAAAAAACAGCTGATTTCGAAAAACTGCCACTGCCACTGCGTCCGCTGCACTGAAATTATTGTGGCAAGGAGGATACCAACACCAAATTGGTCAATACCAACACGTAGGCCTTTCTCAGCAGTCAATGTCACGCTGCCTCATTGAAGTGTGTAAATCCATTGAGAAAACGCCAATATTTCAAATTGCCGAGGATTTGTATTCGGTTGTTTGATTTTAGTTGTCCTAAAAATGATTTTTTGATTAAAAGAATACATATTTTCACAATTATTATTGCAATTACTTAGATTTTTGCGGACGTCTGAGTGCTTGGTTGCTGTCGAATAGAATTTTCTTACAATTCCAGCATTTTGGCATTGGTTCGAAAGCCAGGAAGTACCAAATTTCCGAAAATTCGAAAGGGGATAAATAAAATTCGAAAGGAACATAATGGAATTCGAATATCGCACGAATGTTACTCGAAAGGTGCTTTCAGAGTACCAATCGTTCGAAAGCGAACAAATTTTCTTTCGAATCGAACTACAGAGTAAGGAACCTGGCTTCAATTATACATATGCACATGTACATTTTTTTAAGATCCATGCCGAATTGAGTCAATCAGGCGGGTTCTCAACTCGCGGCAATTCACTTCCGGGTGACCTTCTACCAAAGTCACTTTGAATTAAAATTGAATGGGGTTGAAATTCAATCGGAATTAAAAAAATGTTTGTCGATTAATATACCTAAATATGTGGCAATAAAACAAAGGTAGTGATTTTAGAAATTTTGACTTTCGATCGATCATGGGAACTTACCTTAACCGATTCAGCGGAAAAATTGAAAAACCTCAACATAAAGTCGGCACCGCAGTGCAACAACGGCAGGTAATGCAGTGTACGGCAAACGTCAAATCGAAATGTCAAACAAGTAAATTTTTCTTGCATATTCCTTCAACTGCATTCATTTTCACCGCGTGTGTGTTTTGTGGCTTGAGAATACATTTTCTTGCGATAATTTCTAAAAAGTTAAGTGAAATTCGAATGGAATAATATAATTGGCGTCAGACTTTTTCAAAAAGCAGTTTAGTGTAAAGAGTGCGCGTAGACTTGGAGTGTTAAATATTTGGCCCCAATTGGTCCGTAGACGGTCTACAAACTTCCTAAAAACTTATAAGCTGTGTGTTAGAAAAAATATAGACATTTGTGTGGAGTAGAATGAGTGAGACGCGTGAACAGATACTCGAAGAAATTAAAACTCAAGGCGATTTGGTTCGAAAACTGAAAGCGGCCAAGGAAACGAAAGAAAAGGTGAGTGTTCTACGATTTCCTGACCATTCGTATTGTGGGTTATTTGTTCCATTTATATTACTTAATTTTTTAAGTCATGTTAGCTCACGCTTTCTTTACCTCACACATATTTAATCATATTATGTCCTTGTAATATGCCTTATATGTATGTACATATGTACATAATTCACTAACAATAAGATTAACAGGCACGTTCCGAGTATTTGTTAAATTATCCAAAAATTTCATCAGATATTTAAACGTGTTCGGAAAAGCATTAGCTTAGCAAAAGAGTGGTCGTTTTGCTGTTGGTAGTTTTTTGTAACCAACATAGATACACTGTTCGGGTGATTCATTGCTGTTGCAATTTTGGTTCGCGTCTGCCATGATTAATAATAAATAGGATGAAGCGATGGGTGGTGGGGCAAGTAGGTACGTGCTGTAGTTTGATAGACTGCCTAACTGCGTGGTATCTACTTGCAGTTTTACCAAAATGTTCCATACAAAATTGGTGTGCTGGCAGATTTTCGTATAGCACAAAAGTACTCAAAACCTTCACTTTCGAATCCAATTTTTTTCTTCGTGAGCAAGCGACTGCAAGAAGTAATAACTATTGTTATTAATGAGCAGTTTGGAAACTTGATTGCAGCACCATGGACCGGTTTTAAGTGATTCCCACAACTGGTTCGCTTGCTGTTGGCCTTCCAATAATTTGTTAAAGAAACCAAAAAAATAGTCAACTTTTGCAACCACATACATTCATATATGTAACAATTTACACATATAACCAGCATTAATGTATAACGGTATCACGCGTATTTAAACAACAATAATAATGCAATGATATATGTATGTAGACACAACTCGGTAGTATGTACATATACCCATGCATGTATTTCTGCTAGCGCCTTTTGGAGGCTTGTCTTTTGCATTATAATCTAGCCAACTTGTTTATATTTTTGCAAACAGGCTTTCATTACTTTATCACAACTCCTACGATTCTGTTGAACTTGAAACATTGGTGACGACAACTTAGCTGTCATTTATGGATTCTATTATTATGTAGATCACACACACCTGGTACTCCACTTACTTTGAAAGGTTATCGACTTAAGTCATTAATTTATCAGCAGCATTGTCTCTTACACACTGAAAAAAAGTAATGAAGGCTCCCAAAAAAGCAAAATCGCTACAGCGAAAAAATGGTTTAAAAAACCGCATAAATTCAAATCCGCATAAAAAAAAACGCATAAAAAGATACCTATGTACGTGTGTATTAGTAATGAGAGTCGGAGTACAAGAACTTTTAATATGGCCATCTTCCCCCTTCACGCTGGCTCTTGATGTTACCCCTCATCTAGGACCTAAATCTGCCAAGCCGGCTCCGAAGTGCAAAAGGATCCTGGAAGCTATTTTGCTCATCACTGAAGTAATCCAACGGATTCACGTTAACTGATTTTGGAGGCCATTGTGATGACTCGCAACAAGCACGATGAGGTTGAGTCCTGTCAATGTATACTTAATTGACATTAAATTGATGTGCATCACATTTTCTACTCGTAGTTTTTTTAACTCGGTAACCTACTGAAAACGAAAGGTTTTCGTGATTGTTTTCCCGTATTGATTTTATCAAAAAGATTTCTACATTTTGATAAAGCTACACCTTATTTACTATTTATTATGTGAGTAATTACAAAATACGAAAAAATCTGAGTTATTTCTTTTGTCACGGGTGGGACTAAAAAATAACCTGTGTTTTGGAGCAGATATATTTTACGGAAACTCCACGAACACAAACAAACCAAGAACAACAACAAAAATTATAACCGACTATCTCACCGATCTTTCCAACTTCTTCTCCGCAAGGAACCTCCAAATCTCCGCCGCAAAATCCAGCGCCACACTTTTTACGACCTGGACCAAGGAGGTGGGGCTAGAACTGGACGTCTTCGTCGATGGCGCCAAAATACCGACGACCAATCACCCTAAAATCCTAGGAGTGACGTTCGATAGCCTCTTCTCCTTCTCCGCGCACGCCACAGCCACATGCAACAAACTGCGAGCCAGGAACAAAGTCCTAAAATCGCTAGCCGGCAGCACCTGGGGAGCCAACAAAGAAACCCTGCTCGCGACCTACAAGGCAATCGGCCGGTCAGTGGCTAACTACGCGGCACCAGTGTGGACGGCGGGGACAAGCGACACCCGATGGAGGAACCTCCAAACCTGCCAGAATGCAGCTCTACGTACGGCTACAGGTTGTCATCTCATGTCGTCCGAGCATCACCTACATGAAGAAAGCCAGATGCTGGCGGTGAAAGAGCACAACACCATGCTGTCGAAGCAATACCTCGTGGGCTGTCACCGAGGGAATCACCCCAACAATGCCTTGCTTCGTAACGAACCGCCCCCACGACACGTGAGACGACACCTGCATGACTGGAAAGCGGACATTGAGCCGTACGTAGACCATCCATTCGACGCAGCAACATACAGAGCGGCGCTCAACAGCCTACACAGCGATGCGGTCAGAACGAGCCTCAGTACGCGTAATGACAACATCGTCTTGGGCGGTCGACCGCCGCCCATAGACCCAGAAGAAATAGAGCTGCCGAGAGAGACCAGGTGCACCCTAGCACAACTCCGTTCTGGGTGGTGTCACCGACTCAACAGCTACCTCTCTCGGCTGAACACACAAGTGGCAAACACATGCCCTGCATGTGGGCAAGGTCCTCACGACACCCAGCACCTCTTCACGTGCACCTCCAACCCTACGACCCTGACACCAGAAGCGCTCTGGACCGCGCCTATCGACGCAGCCCGCTTTCTCGGCCTCAGGCTCACAGAGTCGGAGGATGAAGACGACGACACATGACAAATCTGGGGGGTTGAGCACTGCTGCTACAACAACAACAACAACAAAAATTATTTATTACGTGTGGGACTCGTACGAATTTTTAACCCACTTCCAAAAAAGGAGGAGGTTATCAGTTCGTCGGAATATTTTTTTTTTTTTTTTTGATGTATGTTACCGCTTAAGTTTGCACCACGTCAACCGATTTCAATAATTCTGTTTGCAACGGAAAGGTGGTGTCTCAGAGGTGGTCCCATATTTAAAAAAAAAAAAAATATATATATATGTATCTATATATTTCATGATCCAACGATCGGATCTAAACCAAATTAGTATGGGACCACCTCTGAGACACTACCTTTCCAAAAGAATTATTGAAATCGGCTGACGTGGTGCAAAGTTATGCGGTAACATACATAAAAAAAAAATATTCCGACGAACTGATAACCTCCTCCTTTTTTGGAAGTCGGTTAAAAAGGAGCTTTTAATGTGGTCTACATGAAACATTAGTTATTTAAAAATATAAGAAACCAAGTAGGGATACAATTCACTCAAGTTTTATTTTAGGATAGTGACTTTTATTTAGAAGAAAATGCCTAGCACCGCCAGGCCAAAAAAATTATAAACCAAAAAAAACCAAGACTGGTCAAAATGTCACTTACATAACTTAATCGGCTGACCACAAGGGTTTATAGGTAATGGGCGAGTCCTCCCCTCCTCCCCGGAGTCTATCTCAACAAACAAATAAAGCTTATCAGCCCTATCAACTTACCGCTGACAACTGTCCCAACCGTAGCTGTCACGGGTGGGACATGCTTCCCTGTCGAATTATTCTTATCTAACTATGTGGAAACAAAAATGCAATTGTGGTAAACATTTGCAACGAATTTCTAACATGTAGCAAACACGAAACATGTCATTGTTGTTGTTGTAGCAGCATGCAAGTTCTCCAAAGAGTTTCTGGAGAGTGTTGCTGGAGTGACAGTCCTTGGCCAGATATAAATCTGGATTCACTCTAAAAAGTCTGTTTAAAAATGCGACTATAAATCGATTTTATTTTTGTTTATTTTTAAAATTTTTGGTAAATTTACACGATGAATATGCATATGCATATGCAATACATGTATTTTTCTCATTTACACATTTTCGTGCGAAAAATCCTTTTTGTTAGCGGCTTTACACAATTCTACGGGTGAAATCATGATACTAAAAAGAAGGTAGTTTCAATAAACAACTTTTTGATTAAAAACGAGATTTTTGACAATTGCCAATTTAAGTTTTTTGGTAGAGAGAATTTTATATCCTAAATTTGTGAGTATAAATAAAATAGTTGTATCAAAATTTACCTTTTAAAAATAATTAATATCTTATCTTAAGAACGTTAAAATTTAACATCAAATTCGACAGCTACTTGCCAAAATCTCTATTTTAACATTAATAAAATTTTAGTGAACATATATAAAATTTTTTTTTAGTGCTTCATCTGATTATTACACAATGTAGCTAGCCAGGATTATTACAGTTTTCTATATCGGATACGATTGTTTCTGATATAATTGAGACACTGAAATTACACATTTCGATATTGTCTTTGTCCATGTCTTTCAAGTAACTTGAAAACGGAATTTACTTTGGGGCCCATAGGCTTCATGACAATCCCAAACCGTTTTCAAGGTGTTTTCGTTGTCGGTCAGAACATGGTATTATGCAGATTTGCAGAAATCATTTTCGGAAATAAAAGTTGCAAGGTTTAACTGCAACAGAAATTGCGCAAATTGCTTTCGAGAAATATTTTCAACTTGTAAAATATTATAAAAATGTTGAATAAAATAAGAAAAATACGCGTAATTAATTCGTTCTTCTGATCCGGAGTATTTAAGTATTAGTGAAATAGACATTTTGTGACTGTTTTGTGCACATTTTAGCAGGTTTAGTAAATTTTTCAGGTCATTAATTTTGTTAGAAGCATAAAAATGTCTGGTAACATAGTTGAAAGTGGACTTGTCTGCATTAACCATGTAAATATTTAGACAAAAATTAGTATCGGAAAGTTTGATTTTCAGAAACAAGGTGTAACTGCTCCTGCAATCTCTTTTGGAAATTGAGTTTGGCAGACTTTTACTAAGAGCCCTGATACATGACATTTGTTTTCATATGTAAATGCTACTTT